GTTCATCTTAAAATATGGTAAAATATCAACCCATTGATCTTTTCACTTAACAGCCAGGTTTCGCTTATAGAATACTTTGTATCGATATAGAATAAAATACCAATGAGTGATGCATATTAGGGTTGAGTCACAAAAAACGGTTGGAAACCCATTTTCTGTGTCACCAGGGAGGTATGACTATTTTCTTTTTTAAAAATCATAATTTTTTTTTTTTTTTTTTTTTTTTTTGCGTCAGTTTCTTTTGGTATTGCACATTTGTCTTCTGTGGAAAAAAAAACTTTGTATTACTGATTATCCATTTGAATATGTTTAGTCAGCCTCTATTTTTCCTCCATGTGAAAACATTTACTGCGCTTCTAGATTTTGAGGATTCATGTTATGGCCAATGACCTCTATTCCGAAGCTTCTGAAATCGCACTTTCCTATGATCAGCCTGCCTTACCCCTTAAAACGGACAAATGTTCCCTTGTAGATAAGATTTCTTTTCGGAAAGTTTGGTTTTCAGGCATCCTTAGACCCTGTCCATACGATCGAATGCCCCCTGTTCGAGCAAACGGAGGTGCGTTAATGCCCGTGGTAGGTCGAAAGCACCTGAGAATGCAGTTTTCTTCATAGTTTGCGCAGCCAACAATTCAGAAAGGGAGCAGGGCTGGCCGCTTTTCCGTAGCAGCATTTCTGGCTTTCTCTAAACATCAGATAAGGAAGAAAACGGATAGTTATAATAAAAATTTCCCATGCACTGTTTTCAATGGATAATATTAAATTACATTTAGTGCGTAGGATCAAAGTCTGGTGATTAGATTTCCTGCGTTTCTTTGTTTATTGCAATGAATAAAACAATAAACAGTGAAGACATTACCAAGCCAGTAATGTAACATTCAACATCGCAAAATGCACCTGCATCTCTTTATAGGAAAAGTACTAGATGTATAACAACAAAAGCGACGTTGAACCTGTAAACTTGATTTATCTAAAAAGTACTAGTCATAGTGAGTGTGTTGTCGAGATGAAGGTTTAAAGTTATTCTATGGGACTGTGGCTCTGCTAAAAGACCAGCTCAGTTGACAACTAATAAAGACGTTCGGTCTGCCACGTCATATCAGTTCATACCAGGATGGTGTCAGCAGTTTCCGTATTAAATTTATTTGAACATGGAAAAAATATCTTGATATCGTTCCAACACTTCCTATACACCAAACACTCTGTAGCCATGCAAAATAATAAAAAATACGACCTTCGGAAAGAAATTTCGGAGTGACGTCACTATCCGTCGATCATTTGTTTCCGTTTAGCAGACAAATTTCCGTTGAATTCCAGTTCTAAAAGGGAGAACTGCGCGGTGAAAATAGAGAAGCGCACAGCCAGTATGCGCGCACCACAAATTTATTCGTTGCACATTTTCTGCCGCACCAACATCTATGGTCGTTGACGGCGTATTCAAAATATAGCGATGAGGCGAGGCTTCAGGGCGAAGCTAAGCCCCCAGGGTTGAGAAGTTCATACAGCACTATGATAACGTATTGTGGCGAAAATGTTAAAAAATGAGTTAACGATTAGGATAAAATACTTTTGTTATCACAGGTTGTAGAGCACTATATGGTAGTAAAAAGGTTAAAGAGGGAAGAGCAAATGGAATACGAAGGTCGTTCAGGACTGACTGACGTTTTTCAGTACGGCTCACATTTTATGATGTGGACAGAAGATAATGAAAAAGAGAAGATAATGCTAAGTGGGTGAGGAAAAGACCATGCAAAACTAGTTGAGGTGAGGGCTGAGGTCCAATATTGGGTATTGTCCTACACTGGGCCTTAGCCTGTTTCCTAAGGCCCCCACGACAACAATGAGCAAGGGATTGTGGGGCGCCACATTTTCTAGTGTGACAAGAGAATGTGGTATGGAGTTTTTGTTGGCAAAACCATTCTGACTAAAGCAATAGTTCCCAACCTTCTTTTTGTGGCCCCCGACCAATATATTACAATCTCCAGGGGCCCGTTCAGTGACTGCCATCTTTTCATATTCAGTTATTGCTAGTTGTGAATAGAGCAATTGTGCCGATAGCTATAGGACAAGAACAATTTACGTAAAGATCCCAAATTACTGATATGTGAGATAATAATTATATGTAAGTATTGTAGACGAGATAAAATTAAGTTTAATTCGACGTCAAAAATTCCATATTGCTCCAAGACCACCCAGAAAGTAACCCGTACTTTGGAACCCTACGAATAAAAGAATACTTCAAATATATTTGTTACGAATTTCAAGTACTTGTTCGTAGTTAAAATGTAATTATAAATGCTTAATTACAAAATAAAATAAAAACGCTAAACATCAGACGTCACATACCACTAAAGAGAAGTGTGTTAGTGAAAAGAGTAAAGTAGTTGATTAAATGTGCTGCACCTCTAAAGCAGTGCATAATATAAATAACTTGTAATGTTATATATATGATATATTTGTAATATATGAAAAAATAATTTGTATTATATGATGTAATTTGTGAGATGGGTGAGTTTGTCTTGTTTGTTTTCCATGAATGTTTCTGAGTGAGGGTGAGTAAATGAGCTAATGGGAGTTAGGGCGATTAGTTCATAGTTTCAGGAGAAATGTCAGGAAGAGAATCCAGGGAAGGGGATTGTTGTGACAGTCACAAGTATATCTAGGGAAAACGGAAGGGATAAAGAGGAAAGGGAGATGATACAGATGAAGCATGGATGAACAAGGTGAGATGGGAGTGAGTAGAAGTAAGGGGCGTTGGGGAAACATGAGGAGCAGGGTGGATGGATGTCAGCAGTTACTCGAGTGTAGAGGTAATGGGAACAGAGAACATGGAAGATGGATGAGGTGTAGGCATGTTATTTTGGGTCACGATTAGATAGTTTTAAATGTCTGAGTTTTAGTGGTTTTGGAGGGGATCTGGGGAAAAAAAGTTTTCTTATGAGGGGAAGGCATCTGAGGGGTAGGGCAAGAGGTAGGTGGAGGAGAGGGTGGGGTAGATGGGATAGAACGTTTAGATTGTCTGCTATGGGTACAGCGAGGAAGGAGAGGGGTAGGTATCATGACAGTGGAAGAGATTGGTGTACCTGGATTTAAAATTACAAAGAATTTGATTGGGAGAGGAAGGGGTAGAAGTGGAAACGTAAGATGGAGGAGGAATACAAGGCGGAATATGTAGAAATATCTTGGGAAGGGGCAGGATTGCAGTTTGGAGTAAGAAAAGCCTCGTCGTCTTGCTTCCTGCCTGAGTGAGGCCAGGTTTAAATCTCTCACAAGTGACATTATTGAAGGTAGGGCAGTCCCTATAAAATACGTTACGGGAGCCACTACAACAGGCAAGGGATTGTGTGACTACAGAGCAGTTTGATCGATCGTGACCAGGTTGGGCACTTAGAGGGCATCGGACTACCATTCACGGGGTGGAGGTTGATGTTTATTCATTGAAAATTTTCTGCCACGTCAACATCCAATGTTATTAGAATCGTATCCGAAATATTGCGATAAGATGAGGCTTAGGGCGATGTTCCCGGGTTAGGATTTTTTTTTAGTTCAAAAGACTTTCTCGATTCTAAACAGGTTAATATAAAGGTCAATACAAACGTGCCAGACATCAAGTCATACAGCACTACGGTTAAGTTGTGGAGAAAAGGTTAAAAATGAGTTAACGATTAGAAAATGTTAGATGTAGGTTAGTATGGTAGTGAAAAGGGAAGAGTAAATGGAATACGAAGGTCGTCCAGGACTGACATTAAGCCAGCCTTTCATCCTTACAGCACGGCTCTAATACTTTATGAGGATAGAGGGGGATGAAGAGAAGGAAAAAGAAAGGGGAGAAGAAAAAAGAAAAAATTAGCTGAGGCCTCGTCTCCGTCTCCCAGTTCCACCCCTACGACAACGAACAAAGGATTAGGAAGCGACCTCTATGGGGAATGCAGTAGCATTGTACTGATACTACACAATAATTCAGAAGGTAGGCGAGCAAGTCTTCTCCACAGTCTGACAATTCCTTGTCGTAACAGGGTAGTTTGTCGTGGAGAGAGTTCTGATACAAGTAATGGGGAAAGGAGGAGGCTGGACAGGAATAGGTTTGCCAGTGGAGTCAGTCAAGGTTGATGTTGCTTTAGTTTGGGATTCGGATATTATTAACAAGGGAATGATCGGGGCGGATGCGGAAGGAAACTTTGCCTACTTGTTTTTTGTAGGCATTGTTGGAAGAGGAGGACGTTATCAGAGTAAGGGGATATACAGTATTTCTAATTTGTAGAGGTGGGGTAGTAGAAAGGCGGAGCTTTGTGGAAGAGGGAGAGGTTTCGAGTAAAGCAGACCTGCGGAGAGAAGGATAAGGCTGCAGAGTAGTAACAAGGGAGGAAGGGGTAGATGATGTAGATGTTGAGAGAGGGAATGTTTTCTTAGAGGTTGAGCAATGACCTGAGGAGACTATTTGGACTAGACTGAAGTGATAAGTGTTAAGGAAGGAATATTAGTGGTTAAAGGAGAACCTGGAGTCAGGGAATCGAGGGACAAAAATGAGTTTGGTTATTTGGATCATGTTGGGGGAAATTGCCCACCCCTTCAAAGGTAACGGCTAGACAACTAGAGGGAAATGCCATGCTTATGGCTCTCCTAAGCCATCCATGACTCGTACAATTTCATCCTTTCATACCTTAGAAAGTGGATAGTTAAAGTTGAAGAAAAAGAAAGGGAAGAAAACCGTGTAAAATTTGTCAGGTATAGGGCCGAGGCACAAGGCAGGGGTGATCCCTGGTATTGGGCCTCGAGAAGGTCTAATTACCCCTCGACGACAACAGGCAAGGGATTAGCGGAGGTCTAATTGTTTAGTACAATATTTTCTGCTACCTTGTACAAGCAGAAATCTAAAACCTGTCACTATGTACCACCTTTAAGTATCCAATGCTTTCTAATATAGAAAAAAGGGAAATGTGATCATACACAAATTTCGCCATTACTATATGAAAACCTTCAGATGGTATAAAAACTATAAATACGATATAGGTTTTATTGTCAGCTGAAAACCATTAGAACCACAATTACTTTATTACATTTTAATGAAATCCATTACAAAAACTTTAAAATATAGAGTTACCCCTTTATGATTTACAGTCGTCAATAATTCAGAAGGGACTACAATTTCCCCGAGGGGAATATGACCATAAACTTAGCCTTCAGTCAAACTTGACTAGCCAATCTCTAAGATTTTCCATCTAGATTGGCTCTTAATATTTAGCTACTGGAAGTTAGCATGTGTAATAGATGCAGCTTAAATAACAAAGTTTTGTTTTAACAGTGCATAAAATGCTTGTACTAAACTTTTATAATTTGTCCCATACTATACCAGGTTTTCGATTTCAAATTTATGGCAAAAATGTTATGTAACCAATAAGTAAAATTATCATTACTGCTAATAGCAAAAACGCTATCAAGTACTTACGAAACAAAGTTACCCTTTAGTGTAATGTTCAGATACTTTCTTCAATGTAGAAAATGTTGGGTAACTTCAAAGACTTGTTCCATTCCAATTTCAAGCAATGTTCAGTACCATTTGACAAAAAAATGTGGACAGACTTTATAAAATACTACAAACTGCATTTTCAAATCTCTTCTTACTTTACAAAACATTACACAACTTTTAAATAAACAAAATGAATACCAACTTGATTGTCATTATTAGAGATGGTCCAAGCATCCAAACCATTTGTTTTGTAGGTTTCATTTGGTAAGTGCTCTTAAGATTATGAAATTTCAATAGGTTTTGGTTACCTGGAAAGTTCAAATTTGCCTCTGCTGACTTCATCGTAACTACATTAGATCCCAAAATATTTCATCTAGAACTGTAAATTAACACTAATTACATTTGAACAGTTTAACCACCTTGAAATCAACTTTCCATGGGATTCCCTTAATTTTAAAAAGTCTAAATGTACCTACATTTTATTAGAATATTACAGCTTCTATATACAAAAATTAGTCGTACATGTGAAAATACAATCTCTAATACCAAGTCTAGGAATAAATTTCAGTTGAGGTTCATAAATAAAAGGCCAAAAATATACCTCCATGTGTATATTATTCTCCGTACAAAAAATAATACAAATGTAAGCACTTAATCAATTTTGGTTGACATGATACCATGTGCATACTCCAGAATTTAACTCAATTCTGATAAAGAAAAAAAATGACCTTTGAATATTCATCCTTCATTCAATGGAATAGGATTGAAACTCCCAGTAACAAGAACCTGGGTCTGGCAGTCACTTGAAAGTTCCACGACACTGAATATTCATCAGCAGGTACACATCCAAAACTGTTTTCACTTCTTTAACTAAAACACCACTTCCACTAACTTTCAGTCCTATCACAGAAGGCCCTGTATTCCACTAGGATACCCTCATCACAGAGACAAGGAGAGGGAAGGGAAAGACCTCGTCATATCCTAGGGAAGCTAATACCTTCAAGAACCGTTATCCAAAATGCGACACGAGTGCATTACCTTTTTTTGAATCTTAAATTCTCCAAAATCTGGCTTTCTAAGTATACCATCGTCGTGGGAGCCAGAAGCAGTAGAGGACTGACGAGTTGAGGACTTGACGAGGATCGGTGCTAGTACATGTCTCCGCTGTGCCAATTGGCGTTCTGGTTGTAGCCATAATCACGTTCAATACGGCTGGTGCCTCGCCTGCTGCCTCCCATGCTGGCTCTTCCCCCCGCTGTACCCTTGCCCGCCTGGTAAGAGCCAACAATGCCATAAATAATGAGTCTCGGTGAACGACTAAAAGTACAGGTTTGACCCCAGCATGTTAACTGACTGGATATGATGAAATGGATGACTATCAAGATACCTAGTGCACAATCCGAGACTAACAATAAAAGACTAACTGGGTCAACATGCAGGGATCTAATCAATTTGTGTAATCTAATAAATTAGGATCAAAATGGCTAATTACAAGACTTTTATTCATTTTTGTGCATGCAAAAAAAATCAAAAGCTGTTTAAGTATATGTAGATAAAGACATGCATAATTTAACAACCATAAGCCTGACACTTACCATAATTGCCAGATCCATATCCATAACCATAGTTATAATCACCATAGCCGTAGTCGCCATAACCACCATAGCTGCCATAGCCATAGTCACCATAACCACCTGTCAATGAAAAAGGAATTACTAAACAAATTCAAAATTTATTTATATTTTTCTTTTTCTTATCCTCCTTCAGTACTTACAAGTCTCATCAACACCATTCAGTAGCAGAACTGGATAAAACTTTCATCATAAAAATTTAATTCAGATTTTGAAAATTTCAAATTTTTCAAATAAAAGCATGCACTTTACTCAAACTTCACTTACCATATCCTCCATAGCTGCCGTACCCTCCCTGATTGTATCCATAGCCACCTTGGTTCCAGCCCTGTCCCCAGCCTCTGCCGCGTCCCCTCATGCCTCCTCTTCCTCTCATACCTCCACGCATGCCTCCTCTCATCATGGCATCAGGCTTTGGTGTGGCTTTCTTTACATCAACATCATGACCATTGATTGTTTGTTTTGGGGTCTTGAGAAGGTCTGTGACCACAGACTCTTGATCGAAGGTGATGAAACAGAATCCTTTGCGTTGGCTCTTTTGTTTGTCGAATGGCATCTCCACTTCAATAATGTTACCAAACTGATTGAAGAAGTTTTTGATGTCATCATCAGAAAGTTCTGGTTTAAGGCCACCAACAAAGATTTTGCCATGGCGAGCCTTTGCCTTCTTTGGATCAACTTTTTTGCCATTTATGACGTGATCACCAGACTCAATAACCTGAAATTAAAATGGGAGAATTTTTTAAAATAGGTCAATATACCAATCTTACCATCTAAACTTGACTGCCAAAAGAAATTCCTGGCACTATACCAAGTGGTACTCCAGGTTTTACATGCTGTCACAGTCACAGTAAACACATTTACCCTGCTCTAGTTGTTCTTGGTGGTAGTTTAAAGAACCAAGGCTAAAATGGGGCTTAAACCTTTTCTAGAGGGCTGTTTCTTTACAAAGGAAAGTGAACAACCATTTTGCAAGCCCAACTTAAAGAGCATGTTTATCAGCACAGGAAGTGGTAGGCTGTTAAACAACAGTTTCATCATGACATGGCAGGACATCCAGTAGGAGACTCGGTAATTGGATGCTTCCAGATCAGTGCCTCTGTAGTTTCTTAAATAGTTACACCAATATATTTATTCTAACCTAGGTAACTATCAAACCATTATCATCAAGTAAATGTAAACTGCTAAGAAAAAGTTTCTGGTGGGGTGTGGGGGGTGGGGGTAGTAACCCTTGGATCCAGATAACATGAAAAATTGGCTCGAGGGCTGGGTGAAATTAATGACTCGGCATATGTGCAGAAAGCTCTTGGGAGGGCAATTTGACTTGGTAAGTATTTAGGAAGTGGCTCCTGCATTACTTCAATCACTAAATATGGAATGAGGCATACATGACAAAACTGGAGACTGCTGGTTCCATTTGAAATAAGTGGAATGTACCATACATGCGCCATTACTGTAAGAATGCCAGCTCCTGGGAGGACACTATTTCCGTGTTCACAATCCTATTCCTGCACACCAGAACCAGTAGTGCAGGGTGTAGTACAGAAAAGGGAGTTTTACAAGGGGAGGGGGGATTACAAACATTACTTATTGTTACTACACAGTTATGGACTATGTATAGAGATGATAGATGATATGGCGTATGCAGGGGAAACATTATCTTGATACAGCATATCAAAGGACAAATATAGACATTGGAAAAAATCAATAAAGCATTTCAGGGGATAACATTGCAAAAGAGGCACCAAGCCTACAAGCCACACACTTTAAGAGCCGCCTATCAAATAAACCTAATGACCTGATTTTGGGCCATGTGCAAAGCACTGAGACCCAATGGGTTAATGAAATAACCTTTTTTGGTTAATATTCTTAAGACATGCAAATAGGACTTTCAAAATAGTGTGAATTACCTTATCAACAGCTTCTCCTACACTAAAGACGATAAATGCAAAGCCTCTGGAACGGCCAGTGTTTGGGTCTGTTTTAACATTAATGCTTTCAATGTCTCCATATTTGCTGAAGTGTTCACGTAGCTCCTCTGAAAATAAAACCACTTATTAGAACTGTTCATTGCAAATCCAGCCAGTTACTCATATCAAGCATTCAGAAGCAGTAAAGTTACATCAAATTATATCAGAAGCAGAACTGGATACAACTTTCATCATGATAATCCAAAACCATAACCAACAATCATAAATATCTCGCCAATCACTGAACTATCTAGATCAGCATTTTTGAAAACCCAACTGGGCTCCAAGTGAATTACTTCATTGAAAGAACAGCAACACCAAGGCCTGAACCACAGTCATGTAGAAATCAAAAGAGAATTAGAATTTCAAACTATGAATATGAATACTTTTATTGGACTATAAAACCAGTCTTCAATGGTTCATTCATACATTCTCATAATATTCAGAATTTAAATCAGTAAAGTATGATTCCAGATTTATATTATAAGGAAAGGAAAAGTTTGTGGCAATCCATTTGCTGTGTAGGACTGCAAAACTTAGTGATCACAGGAATAGATATTCATTATAAACAAGAGATTATACTATACACTGATAAATGCTGATCTAGATAGGTCACTCAGGGCAAAACAGATACTTACTTTCTGTGGTTTCCCAGCTCAGGCCACCAACAAAAAGTTTCCTGGAAATGAGATCGAATTAGTCACACCACGAACCCACTTGAGTGAGGAGGGAAGTGTTTATTAGCATGTACTTTACCTTAAGGTTGTTAACTGCTTCTAGTTTAGATGGCAGGAAATCAAATGTTTTAACCCTCTTCAGGCCGTCAAGCAAGTTGGCAAGAATACAATTGCCCTTTCTGCTCTATACATTAACTCTGAAAACAGTCTGGGCAACACAAACAAACAACAAAAAGTTAGGGGGGGAAATTAAAATAAAACGTTCTAGTGCTAATGCCGCAAAGGATAACAGCTAGAACCACTCAGTTGACCTTTGCTTCAAGTTGATCGCAAATGGAAAGACAGGTAACCGTGAGTTAAATTAGACCATAAGGTAAACAGATAAATACCCTGGTGTCGATGCGGAGCGCTACAAGGGGGCAACATTCTTCCCGTAGTAGCGGCCACCTAGAGGAAAGAGGAGTCTCCATTAGTCCTTGTGGAGGGGCCACCTGAACCTTCCCTAGAGACGTTACGTTACCATTTGACAAGGAGAACTGCTGGAACAAGACCCAAGGTGGCCCTGTGATGACTGCTTCAGTTACGTTACAGCTTCATGATGACAGCAACTGGGCAGCTTTGAGGCAGAACATTCAAAGGCAGAGGAAGTGATCCACAAGATTTCTACCCACCCTTGGAAATTTAAATTCCCCTTATTGGCAAGACAAAAAATCAATCAATTCAAAAGCAAACAGTTCACTTAGCATCTACACAAAAAGCAGTGTGATCATTTCCCCTACAGAGCAAAGTTATTTACTTTACCAGTTTCCAAAACTTTAATTAGTGATGCATTATCTAATAACAAACAAAAGTAATTGTAGGCATATCCACAAATTATGGTTGCCCTCAAGATAATGTAAATCTTCAAATTTTCTTGTCCCATTTCCATTTCCATGGGTCTTCACCAAAATGACCGACAGATCAGCTGCATTATCTTACTGTAATGTAACCCCTTGAGGACGGCAGACTATACAATACGCAAGGGGATAGCATTGTTAAATGAATTCATCAACAGTCCAAAAGTATAGGAATGATTGTGCTTCCATGTTCAGACATGACTTCAAAAGGAAAAAAAAAATCCTCAATAGCACAAGGTCCTAAATCTTTACCAGTCCAAAGTAAATTTCTGGCAATTGGTATTTTCACCATTTCTCCCTCTAAACCAACAGAGGAGCCAACTGTCGTGAATAGGTTAAACTGCATTGCGACAAACCATGTCATGAACAAACAGTTCACTATCGCATGACAAATGTCAAATACTAAAGTTTATGATAAACTTAACCAAGCTATCTATTAAGACATGTTCTTTCATTACGAAATCCTTAGTTTACAGAAACTGCCAATAAGTACTTCTTGCAGGACTATACCAATCACTAGTACTACAATGCCACTTCTAATTTAATGAAATGTTTATCTACTTCAAATAAACTTTAAATATATATAAAGAGGGAAAACTTGGAATTTTGTAAACTGTATATCAAACATGTCCGAACAGACTGCTACAGGAACTGTCTGAACAAGCACCAGGCAAAATTATAATCTACATTCAGGACAAAATATGCAGAGATGTCATGTCCAGCTACAAGACCCATTCTAAGACATGGGGCAGGAAAAGCATGAAGATCTACAAAATCTTTCAGAAACCATAATTGGTCATGACTTTGTTTTAAGTGTACATTGAGGCACTTACACCTAGCAAGTGAGAATGATTCTAGCACAGGAGTGGGGGAATAACTACGCAGTACTAACGGCCGCTAGCCACTGCAGAGAGAGAGGGGCAAGATAGATAAAAAAGCATTTGGTCGCCTTGATGTTTGGGTGCTTTGCCCCACGAGGGATGCTCAGCCAAGAATGGGCCCATGCAAGTTAATGCCCCAAGTATACAAACTTTACATTTAATAGAATCATACTTGCAACGATTCATGGAAAGGAACGACATGTAAATTTTCCATTTACATGGGAGAGATGAGAGCCCCCTCCCATGGCGCTACCAAATTATCAAGTACCTGAAGCTAGGCTAGCATGTGAAGATGCATAAAATAAGTATACAAAGTCTACTCTTCCAACAGAACACAGCTAGAAATATAAAAGGCAAATCGTCAACTTACGTCGCTCTCAAGGATTCGTAAAGAAACAGTACAGATGTGAGTAAAAACCAGACCGAGTGTGTGATCCATGAGCGCATTTAGGAGTATCATGCTAGCCTCATGGGGAAAATTGTAAAAACTTACGCAAAGTCTTTCAACAACGTGGAGCAAGTCCCTCTCGAGAAAAACAAGAAATACTGAGATTTCACGCAGTCGTACCAGAGACAAGACTAAAAACTTAAAATGTATGCACAGAAAGGGGTCTTCAGACAAGCATAGTTAGTCTTCAACAAAGACAAAGGCGCAAGGGAGCAGATGAACCAGAGCCGGCGTGGCCCCAAGTTAACGGATCAACGCGGACGTTTTGCTTAAGGTAGAGATTAATAACGTTTTAGAAACGTATCACGCCTTCATTACTGTACCTGTGAAAAACTCCTGGCATTCAAAAAACCGGATCTAACCCTCACGATCTAGTACGCCTAAGCACAGAGCGTTGAGAGGTTCAACAGAAGGGGGAGGGCAAAGTTTTTCCTTTCCAAAAGAGGTCTTTTCCTTTTGTGAATTTAGGCCCACGCGAGCGAGGGGCGACCGTACCTGTCATCGTCGCGGCCAGGGGCATCGGCGGCGCCGCTGTCCTGCACCTCGCCGGTCTGGCCCTCCCCGCCGCCCTCCTGGCTCTCTGCCGCCCCGGACCCGTTCTCCTGGAAGTCGCCTCCGCTGTAGTCCTCGGTGAAGTCCTGCTGTTCCATCTCCTGGTCGGCCATTTTGCGTATAGTGTCTTTTCTGCAGGGAGAGGGAGGACGAAGAAGCTTTCCTCTTGATAGCGGAGCGGCGCGTGGTAGCAGACACAAGCGCAGGAGGGAAGGAGACTCGCCTCTCAGTCACCCGCCAATCAGCGCCGTCCTTTCCTCTCCTTCGTCCCGCGCTCAGCCAATCAACGCGCTTTTTCGGCTCCCTTGCATCCAGTCGGCCAATCAGCTCACAGATTCAGCCCGTAAGTGAGCCTACATTTTTTGCGCATGCGCAGTTTCCGACGCGGCGCACTCTTTGACGCGGCGCCGACCAGCGCTCCCAAGTCGGTTTTATTGATTATTTGGCTTGGCGTAAACAGGCAAAGGATGCGAAAATTACAGATGCACATGCGAAGAAAAGGAGTTTGTTATATACAAAAACAATTATTTTTTGAATAATCATCCCTTTCTGTGAAACTAGATATTCAGAAACTTGGAATGGTTTTCTTACAGCATATGTAGTTAAATCTTGAAACATACATGATATAAGAAAGTAAATAAATCTTAGGCTGCAGAACTCGAGACGTTCTGGATCAATTATTATATCCGGGAATCCATTCATCCCTGCGTCGGTTCGCGTTCATTTCTGGGATAACGCATTCTCATGCAGTTAACATGGAAAGGAATTTTTCGGTTGCTACTGTCTTCCCAGTATCATTGTAAAACTAGTCTTGGGTATATATTTATGGCCGGGAAAAGAGAGGCAATTTATCTTTACCAAAACGGCTGTAGGCCAATTCTGGACCTACCGTAATAAAAACCTTTCTTTTCAGTATAGCTGTTTGTACATTGTATAGATACATAATAGAAAACATATTTCCCTTCGTAGAGAAGTAGTACACGAGATCTACAAGACATTATGTAATTTCTTGACAAACATCCATGTTTCTTTGACATTTTCCACCTACTCGTCCTCTTGTTCCTTTTCTTTTATCTCCGCCAGAGCGCATGCTGCAACGAAGTATACCAGGAAATGTACAAGATTTGTAATTCATTCAAATCTGAGCGGTTGCTTGTTACCGGTGTACGTCTTTTTTCAGGAATAAATACCCAAAGGAGACATATTTCTTCCACCTTTTCTTATTTGATGTGCACTATCAACACTTAGAGGTGGGATTCCCCCGAGTGAATGAGTATCTGTCACAAAAAAAAATCTTTTTAATGATTTAATGATATTTTGGAAGCAGTTCGCCGCACTTTACCTCTACTTCGCGCTCTTGAAGGAGGTCGAGGGAAGTTTGGTTTATGTGGAAAAGGTCTGTGGAATCTTGAAAGACCAATACTTTTAAAATGCCTTTTATCCCACGTCACTTGCTGTGAATTTGTTGTGATATCGATTTCATATATCAACATTAGAATATTTGTTTATTTCTTATATTTAGGGTTTAAATCTACGAAATATATTTTGTTACTAAAGATAGATATCTAAAGTGTGAGGATGTACAAAGTCCGCTTCCCTTATGCCCCGTCCCCCCGTTCCTTCTAGCGTGCTTTGGGAACCATATTCCTCCCATCCCTCTGACCGGTTCTCACTTCTACTCCTTCGTGTTACTCTCTCTCTCTCTCTCTCTCTCTCTCTCTCTCTCTCTCTCTCTCTCTCTCTCTCTCTCTCTCTCTCTCTCTCTCTCTCTCTCTCTCTCTCTTTCCGAAAAAGCGTGGAGGATACGTCCATAAAGATAACTATAATGAATACATATAATGGATAATTATATATACTATATATATATATATATAATATATACATATATATATATATATAATATATTATATATATATAATTATATATTTATATATATATATAATATATATATACATATATATATATATATATATATATTATATAATATGATATATAATATATATAATATATTATATATTAATATATATAATATATATATATATATATATATATATATATATATATATATA